TTCAGTTTTTAGGGACAATGAAAACAACACAAAATGTACCTTTATTATGGCTTATGAAAATGTCACAAAAGAGCGTGCAAGCATTTGACATCTCCAATTTTTAAAAATTAAGAGATATGATACAAAAAAACAGAGAATGGAGAATGAAGTCCATATGTAATTGCTGTGATAGTTCACACTCAGTGAGTTACTTGAAGGCGTTACAGGTATCAGATGATACTACTATTCTAGAAATTTAACAAGAATCAGCAGTTAACCCTTCATTTTATGGCTTTTCAACCTTTTGCTTAAGATTGAGTGCAGCGCGTAGTGTGTGTGTAACCCTTCATTTCCAGAAACAGAAAGGTCAGTTGTAATAATTCACATGCACATTTTTTGCAGGATTTTGTTTGGTTCCTAATAACGGAATTGCCCCTCTATGGTGTTTGGACTTTTTTCCTTCATGGATCAATGCATCTACCAATTATGCATCCTAAAAAATATAAATGTTCTGTTACTATACATGTAATAGACAAACTCCATTTAAATCACATTTTGGTCATAATAAAATGTCAATAGATGAATATTGTCTATCTCACACAATGATCTAATGATCTAAACAGTATCATGAAATATGTAAACCTACTTGCTCTTTGTGTAGAACATACCAAAAGGTACATTGTTCTTCTGTAGAAATGCAAATAAAAAAATAAAGCAATATTTGAAAAATGTTAAAAAGTGGGATTCCAGGTTGCTGTCAAAATGTTCTAGAAAGGAAACAACGTCTCTTGACAAAAAAGGATGAGAGAACAGCTCCTACAGCGTGTGTTTTCTCTTACAGTTATCTGAACTATAATTTTGCACAATAGATAGATTTAGCCAAAGAATTCTTCACCTAAGCCTCACATTCTATTCAGAGCGTTAGCAACTCTGCAGTACCACAAAGAAACAGAATCAATGGGCATACCTTTTATTAGATAAGCTAGCAATAAAACTTTTTAAAAGCTTTTTCAAAATAAAATTGCATTACAATTGCATCCTATTTTTTAAAGTCTAGTTTAATAGTTATCTGATTGATGAATAATATAGCTGTCCCCAGTTCAAAAATGACTCAAAAGAAGTGCTCACCAGGAGCCAGACATTTCTCTTCTCTACTGATGACAGCCTTGGACTGGATCAAGTTATCTACAGATTGGCAAACTCTACCCTTGTCCATTGAGTCATTTCCTTAAATGTCTTTCTTGGAAAGAAAATTATCGTATGAAGAAACTAATTCTCTGTTCTTCCAAGGATGCCAACCTGTATTTTAATGAATTGTGTGATTTTTAAATTCTAAGGTGGTAGCCATGTTCATCTATTGCAAGAAAGAGAACCAGATGCTGTAGTATGTTAAAAACTAGCAGTTCTATCTTGGCATACTTTTTCATCTATTAGAGTTGGCTTTTCCACTCCATGCAGCACCTGATCTACAGCAGGTGAGGTCTACTCTTGCTGAAAACTGGCACAAAAAGGAAGTGCACCATGGAGGCTGTTAGCAACACAAGCTTCCTGCCAGTCAACTGGACCTTGCAGTTGCTGTATTATAGCGGTTCCACTCCTTCCTAAGTGGGTAGTTCCAGTAAGGGGAAGAAAGGTTGGCTTGATGGTTGTTCCCATGCAGGATATCACAGGTCTTATCTCTCCCCTGGTTTTCCATATTTGCATGAAGCTACTGGGAAAGGTCATCTATCAGTTTGGGGTATCATCAGTATGTTGAGGACACAGAGGTATATATCTCCATTCTGGCCCTGTACTGACGTGTGGAAATCTTGATCACGTACCTACACAAGTCCAGATGGCAGCAAGTATGTTGGTATATGGAGTTGTTCTATTTTGTTTTGTTTTACCTGAAGAAAGTTCTACAATGCTGAAATGCCAACTTGTCCTTGAGGACTAGAACAAGCTGTTACAGGTCAGGGCTGAAAACAATACCTACTGTTAGTGTACTTTGTAGAGAGGCACTTTCCCCACACCAACCAGATGAAGGCAGGCTGTAATCAGTGAGCTGTGCTATACTTGTTGCAGCAGAGACTGACTCTCCAACCCAAGTGTACTGGGCACATTCCTTGGGGGCAAGGCCATGGCAAGAATTGTGTGCAGTCCATAAAAAACTGATTTTACTGGACCTTCCTTCCTCCAGTGGCTATTCCTCAACCCCTGGTGATACTGTACTCCTTGGAGGTTGGGTTGTTTGTGCAGGACTGATTTTTGAAACCAGATCTCTGCTGGCCACCAGGGACTCTCTGTACTTGGGTGGGGTGAGGGGTTGATGTGCATACCTGCTGCCATGAATTTGTTATGGTAGACTTTTGATAGGGTTCACTGGCAGTAGCATGCATCTTGACCTTCTGTATTCACTGACACCTCTGCAAATTGCTTCCAGGTCAGGCTGTCCATGGATGGCAAGACAGACCCATGATGATGGCTTGCTTAACGTGATGATTCAGAAGGGTAGATATGCTACCCAGGCATTTAAATGCCTGCTACAGAATACTCTTGGTGAGATCAGC